TTCGTTTCCAGTGATTCTCTATCTATAAAAGGGATAGGAGTCACTGGTTTAGAGATAGTGACAAGAGCATTATGCCTAAATGAAATTTGGGCCTGCTCTAATCGAAGGTAGGGCCTTCCTAGAATTCCATGTGTAGAAATGGGAAAATTATTTCTAACTATGTGAAATTCTACAGGAATGTCGAAGAGTGTTAGTTCAACAGTGCCAAATGTTTTCACGGTGTGATTCGTGATTCCAGTGATCTCAGCACATTTGCTTCGTGTAAATGAGAGATCAGGACTCAATACACACACTTTGATCAAATTTGTGTCCGATCCAGGATCCACCAGAAAGTTGACCTTGGGTATCCTGAATTCAAGTGCAGATAACTGCACTACTGGGGAGTCTTCAGCTTGGGATCCTGCTCTAAAGACCCTATTTGGTTGTCCGCAAAGTGGACCCTCCGTTGACGCAGGGGAGTGGGACTCGCTGCTGCGTCTATGCGTCGGGTCGAGTCGGCTAACGGTTAAATTTCCTTGTGGAGAATTTAAACTTCCTTGCGGACCAGGGGATACCGAACGGGGTGGAGTGGCACTTGGTTTAAATCCTGAGTGCTGCCGGTTGTAGTTAGGTTGGTATCCCATTGCCTGTCTAGGGGTAGGTTGGTAGACCATGGGCTGCATAGGAGAGGATTGGAAAACCATCGGTTGAAGAGGGGGTTAGTAATTCATAGGTGCAATGATTTGAGGCATCATCGTCCTATAAAAGACCGCTAGTTGCTCAGGGGTAAACTGGGGCGTCTCATTATTTGATCCTCGTGATGATCTCAAAATCGAGGTTTCCTTTTCGCCATTGGGATTTCCGTTTGTCCGAAGATGGTTTCTCGGCTTGTCTGGAATAAGGGCTGGGGGATCTTGGTCGTTCCTCAGATCTAGTAATGTGATACGAGGATGCCCTGGTCTTATCAGTATATTTTTGGCGCTCTTCTGCGCGAAGGGCATGCTCGCAGGCCTCTTCTAAATCCACGGGGTTTCTAGTGTCAACAAAAATTTACATTTCTTCTGGTAGTCCTCGAATGAAAGATTCGAGGGCATAGTCTATAATCGGTTGTATTAGGAGTTCACTTTCAGGAAACACACGAGTACGTGCGTTGGGGACATCGGCTTCGCGAAATTGTCTATTATACTTTGCTTCGAGGGCATGTTTTGCACCACTTAGAAGTCCGCGCAACCTATCGTTATAGTCCCGCACAGTTTCGGATTGTTTCATCCTTATTGTCATGATATTTTCGAAATACCATTGGTATTTTTTTGTAGATGCAAATCGTTTTTGCAAATGGGCGACATGCTCGTCCACCCTATTGAAATGTTTATTTCTAACACTTTCCCTAGCCGCGCCCTTTAACTTACTAAGCACTGCTTTAAGGAAACCCGGTTCTGTGGCATCAGTGGTGAATACGACACCATTTGCTACATCTTGTAGAAATTCTATTAAGGGTGGATTCTTTCCGTCAAAGAAAGGGATGTGGTATGTACTCTGATGTAGGGTCATACATTCGAGGACAGATGCCATGGCGGCCGTAGTGTCCTGGTTGATTTGCCGAAGGGTTATATTGGCATGTTCTGTCTCTAATAGAGAGTGATTATTCCCGCCCCTTGCGCCAGGGTTATCTTCGAGATGGTCCGGCATTTTTGACAAAAGGGTCTTAATTGACAAAAAGAAAAAAAAATTGAAATATTATAAGGGGTGATGATATGCGTGTTTAAATATATATATATATATAATATGTTTAAAATTAATAGATGTATTCATCGAAGTAAATGAAACGGAAAAAATTGTATAGCAATATTAAAAAAATTTGGTGAATACTATGTTCTTACAGGAGAGCATTCTTGTATTCTCAATATATTTAAAATTAAAAATGAAAGGGCAAAAAAGGAAATGGCAAAATTGTGTTTACACCTTCATCTATCGTTAATTGATATTTACAATAGTGTAATAAGAAAGTAAGTATGTAAGCAAATTATGCTTTTTTATCAATATATTTCTACCAGTATTACACATTTTATACAATATAAATAGATTCTTAAGTTATTAGTAATAGTGAAAAATCGCAGCTATATTCACACTTACCCAAATACAGTCTTTGTCGAAAATTTTCCTCTTCGGATGCTTTGATCAGTTAATAGAAATGCAAAAAAATCTTTTTTATTTTCATAACGATTCTTGAGATTGTTTATGTTTGGAAATATAATATAGTATCACAAAAATTTCTTCTTCTTCTGGTAAGTCAATTATTAATTATCTATTTTAATGCTTTTTTTCTATTAATAAATCTATTATTGCTTCCTCATGGAGGAAGCATTGTAATACCGAAATTCTTGGATATCAATTTTTGATGTATCTTTGTTTTTCGACATCAGGAATCAAAAAAATCTCATTTAAAAAAAAAATTTAATTCCGTGTTTCAATCTAAAGATATTCAATTTTTTAAGGGCAAGTCCAACATGTGAAATGTAAACAAACATGAAATGTAAACAAACCATGCACATTTTTTCGCAGTTCTCATTTGCGTAGAAAATAAAAATTTGTCGTTTTCTTTATGAAAATGGTAAATTAATGTATTAAAGTTGGTTACTATACTTTATTTAACTAATTATATGAAAAAATAAGTACAATTATAATGAAATGAAAAGTGCACTGAATTAGCAATTTTTTCAAGGTTTCGAAAAAAAACCATTTGAGTATATCTGAGGCACGGACGTTGAGCGCCTAGGTGGGAGAAGAATGTTGAGCCATTGGACGGTCACATCTTGGAAAGGGTAAAATTCTGAAATTTTACCCCTTCTCTCACTTTCTCCCACCTAGGTCCTCAACGTCCGTGCCTCAGATATACTCGAATGCTTAAATTTTTCGTAACTTTGAAAAAATTCATATTTCAGTGTACTTTTCATTTCATAATAATTATACTTATTTGTTCACATAATTAGTTCAATAAAGTATAGTTACCTAGTCTAATATTTAAATTTACCATTTTCACAAAGAAAACGAAAAATTTTTATTTTCTACCCAAATGAGAAGTGCGAAAAAAATGAGAAAATTGCTAATTCAGTGTACTTTTCATTTTATTATAATTATACTTATTTGTTCAGAAAAGTTGTTAAAAGAAGTATAGTAACCTAATACAATATATCAATTTACCATTTTCACAAAGAAAGTTACAAATTTTTATTTTCTATTCAAATGAGAACTGCGAAAAAACTGTTCAAAATCTAAACAAATCATATCCATTTTTTCGCAGTTCTCATTTGAATAGAAAATAAAAATTTGTAACTTTCTTTGTGAAAATGGTAAATTGATATATTGTATTAGGTTACTATACTTCTTTTAACAACTTTTCTGAACAAATAAGTATAATTATAATAAAATGAAAAGTACACTGAATTAGCAATTTTCTCATTTTTTTCGCACTTCTCATTTGGGTAGAAAATAAAAATTTTTCGTTTTCTTTGTGAAAATGGTAAATTTAAATATTAGACTAGGTAACTATACTTTATTGAACTAATTATGTGAACAAATAAGTATAATTATAATGAAATAAAAAGTACACTGAAATATGAATTTTTTCAAGGTTACGAAAAATTTAGGCCTTCGAGTATATCTGAGGCACGGACGTTGAGGACCTAGGTGGGAGAAAGTGAGAGAAGGGGTAAAATTTCAGAATTTTACCCTTTCCAAGATGTGACCGTCCAATGGCTCAACATTCTTCTCCCACCTAGGCGCTCAACGTCCGTGCCTCAGATATACTCAAATGGTTTTTTTTTCGAAACCTTGAAAAAATTGCTAATTCAGTGCACTTTTCATTTCATTATAATTGTACTTATTTTTTCATATAATTAGTTAAATAAAGTATAATAACCAACTTTAATACATTAATTTACCATTTTCATAATGAAAACGACAAATTTTTATTTTCTACGCAAATGAGAACTGCGAAAAAATGTGCATGGTTTGTTTACATTTCATGTTTGTTTACATTTCACATGTTGGACATACCCTTAAAATTCGAAAAATATGTTTTTTGCTCATAACTTAAAAAAATGAGGGCTGCCACAAGTCAGGGAAGTCAGGGAAATTAATTTTTGTCAGGGAAATGTCAGGGAATTTAATAAAAAGTGCTGGAAAAATGTTGTAAACCTACATTTCCATTAAAAATATTCATTTGTTGTGAATTTGTATAACAAAATAACAATTTTAAAGAATTATTTGTAGAAGTTTTATTTGACCCAAGTTTTATTTAATCGAAATTTTATTTAAGACGAACTTTTGATAGAATTTATATTTTATAGAAAAGACGAAAATGTCAGGGAAAATACAAAATTTTTGTCTGGAAGTCAGGAAAATGTCAAAAAATTATTTTGAATTTTTTGTGGCAACCCTGAAAATGTATTGACACCAATGAGTATTTATTTTCAGTTTTGTAGAGCTTTTCAAGACGCATATTTTGACCTATTAGCGAATATCATACTGTTATTTTATTCGTAGTTATTAACATTTTGAAATTGAAAAATTTTGAAAAACCTTTTTTTTGCATTATTTATTAAAAAATCTTTATGTTCAAATTATCGACATATTGTCGTTATGAATGAGTGACGCCTGACGATAGGCAGCACGTCTTCTGAATCTCGGTACCCTTGTAATAGATTCCCGGAATTTGTGTGAATTCGTAGAAGTAACCCTTCAGTGAGCAAGAGTGCGAGGAACGTGTCAGTCGCCTATAATTATCGACTCGTATTAATTATTAATTAATCCTTTGGTGCTCTTTTAATAAACTTTAGAATTATAATTTCTTAAAATAATTTTTATTGGTGAACTTTGTTAGGTGGGTTTTCCGCGAGATTTAGGACTATTTTTATGAAATAAATCAGATATTATTTCTATGTTTAATGAACTGACGCCTTATTTTATCATTGACAATACTTAGTCGCTCATCCTTCCTAGTCACATATTTTGATAAGTACATGTGTACTAAACCGGATTTCATTTCTAATTCAGATTTAAAGGCTTTATCATTGGCCGATCCAGATCCATTCAGTGACCTTCCAGTAGATTTTATTCTAGGCGCAGACAAGCTTGGTTCTTGCTTGCTACCAGGTCTTAAACACAACGTTTTTGGCAGTTTAACAGCGCAAGCCACAATTTTTGGCTGGATTATTTCAGGGTTAATCGATGCTTCTTTAACACCTTCTGTTCTTTCTTTGAATGCTAATGTCAAGATTTCAACCGAAGAATTGCATGATGCAGTTGTGCGTTTTTGGAATTTGGAAGAAATACCTACTGCTCCATCTTTGACAGAGGAGCAATTGAGATGTGAAGAACATTTTAACTCGACTTTCAAATGCTTATTAAGTGGTAGATATATGGTTCGATTGCCATTTAAAAGTGGTCCACCTATAAATATAGGTCAGTCATTCGGAAGAACAAAAATGATTTTGGATAGAGTTTTACGTCGCTTAAGGGAAAAGCCGAAACAATTTGAAATGTATAAGGATTTTTTATCAGAATATCTCGAGTTAGATCATATGCGTTTAGTAGAGGAGAACGAGTTTGACAAGTCTTCTCAAACTGTTTATATACCACACCATGCTATTCTTCGAGAGAGTAGTTTGACAACTAAATTAAGGGTTGTTTTTAATGCGTCAAGTCTCACTTCAAATAATACTTCTCTAAACTCACATTTTTACATTGGTCCACCATTATTGAATGATCTAGTTTCTATTTTAATTAATTGGCGCAAATATCGCTACGTTCTTGTAGCCGACGCAGAAAAAATGTTTCGACAAATAGTAATCGATCGAAGAGACGTAGATTATCAACGGATATTGTGTAAAAACTCTGAAGGTCAATTGTTAGCCTATCAACTTTTAACAGTTACTTATGGTACGGCATGCGCCCCATACTTAGCCAACAGAGTAGTCAAACAGTTAGCTCAAGATGAAGGTATGAACTTTCCGTTAGCAAGGCCTATAATTGAGGAGAATATCTACGTTGATGATGTTTTCTTTGGAAAGGACGATTTCGGAACAGCTAAAGAAACAAAGGATTAAGTAGTTAATTTAATGAAACGTGGGGGTTTTTATTTGCGTAAGTGGGCATCGAATAATAATGCTTTATTGAGTGATTGTACCTCAGACAATCATGAACGAGCTCTAGATGAACAATCAACTGAGGGCACATCTTTGAAAGTTCTAGGCTTAAGTTGGGATCCCTCGTTGGATTGTTTTCGAATTGGAGTTAGTTTGGAATTAATTGATATTCAACGAAAAGAACGGTTTTGTCAGTTATCGCAAAATTGTATGATCCACTTGGTTGGATAGCTCCTGTTGTTGTTACTGCAAAACTTATTATGCAGGAATTGTGGTTGCGTAAATTGGATTGGGACGAGAAATTGCCACCTGATTTATTGAAACAGTGGTTTGAGTACTATAATCAGTTAGAAGTTCTAAAAAATCTAGAAATACCACGTTGGGTAGGTGCAGTTGTAACTAATTCAAATAGTGAATTGCACGGATTCGCAGATGCATCCAATCGTGCCTACGCGGCTAATATTTACCTTCGTGTTATCGATGATTCCAATAAAGTTCATACCACTCTTTTAATTTCGAAATCCAGAATCGCACCAATTACACCGGTTAGTATACCTCGTCTGGAATTGTGTGGTGCAGTTCTATTATCAAAACTCATGAAATATGTCCTAGAGAAATTGAAATTCCAAGGTGTTCCTCATTATTGTTACACTGATTCAAGTGTCGTTTTAGCGTGGTTGAAAAAACATCCCTCTACATGGAAAACCTTTGTGGCCAATAGAGTGGCATTAATTGACGAATTAATTCCTCAAGCACAGTGGCTTCACGTCACTACTGAGAATAATGCGACCGATTGCGCGTCTAGGGGTTTAATGCCGACAGAATTGCTCGATCATTCTTTGTGGTGGGGAGGGCCTGAGTGGCTTTCTCATGAATTGAAAAAACTTCCAAAAAGTGATAAATCGATCTTTGAATCAACTGAATTGGAAAAGAAAACAGTAAAATCTCATTTTGCACAGACTGATCAGTCTTCTTATCAAGAAATTACTGATAGATTTTCATCTTGGCCTAAGTTGCTACGAGTCATGACTTATTGTTTTAGATTTACTAATATAATTAAAAAATTTAAGTTAAATTCAAGCTACAAACCTTCTTCAATTACTACCTCAGAAATTGAGCAAACGCGTATGTTTTTTTATAAAACTAATACAAAGGGAATTTTTTCAATCTGAACTAAAGGAATTAAAAAATCAAAAGACTTTGACAATGAAATCTGCTATTAAAATTCTGAGTCCTTTCATTGATTCATGTGGGATACTTCGGTTGGGGGGTCGTTTAAAAAATGCTCCAATTAGGTATGATGAAAAGCATCCCATAATTCTGCCAAGGCATAAAATTAGTGAATTAATTGCACATCATGCTCATGTCAGATGTTTGCATGGAGGTCTTTAGTTAACCTTGTACACATTGCGGCAAAACTATTGATTAATTGGGGCACGTTCTTTGGTTAAATCAATTATTCATAAATGCCTTCTATGCGTCAGACAAAGGGCAGCTGTTAGTCAACAGCTTATGGGCGATTTGCCTGACTTTCAAATCACTCCCAGTCGACCTTTCAGTCATACAGGAGTTGACTATGCCGGCCCTTTAGAAGTGAAATTGAGCCCAGGTCGAGGTTGTAAAACTCGAAAGGCGTATATAGCTTTATTTGTCTGTTGTTGCACTCGAGCGATCCATCTTGAACTTGTTTCCGATCTTTCGTCAGCAGCTTTTTTGGCTGCGTTTCAGCGTTTCGTTTCCAGAAGAGGTAAACCATCTAATGTTTATAGTGATAACGGTCGTAATTTCGTGGGAACTGAGAGAGAGGTAAAACTGCATTTTATTCAATTGAAAGCTGATGCTGATTTGCATGACAAACTGACTACTGATGGGGTTTCATGGCATTTTATACCTCCAGATGCTCCGCATTTTGGAGGGTTATGGGAAGCCGGAGTAAAAAGTGTAAAGTATCATTTACGAAGAATTATCGGCCTTCACAAATTTACCTTTGAAGAGTTTTACACACTACTTACTCGAGTGGAGGCTACTTTAAATTCGCGTCCTATTGCTTCTCTCTCTGAAGATGCTGGGGATTTTTCTTATTTAACACCGGGTCATTTTTTAATTGGTGCACCAATCACTTGCATACCTGAGCCGTCGCTTGAATTTACTCCCGAAAATCGCTTAACTCGTTGGGAATTAATTCAACGTATTTCTCAGATTTTTTGGAAAAAATGGCGCGTTGATTATTTGCAAAGTTTGCAAAAACGTTATAAATGGAGCACTGTTACACCAAATATTAAAGTAGGAGATATGGTACTTCTGCGTGACGACAATCTCCCTCCAGCTCACTGGCTTCTTGGTAGAGTGTTAGAATGTATCGAGGGTTCTAATAATCTTGTACGCGTAGTCAAAGTAAAAACTGCAGATTCGGAATTTAAACGTCCATTGAGTAAACTCTGTTTACTTCCGGTAAGAATGATGAATGAGAATTAATGGGTTCAGAATGAATGTTTGAAATTTTGTGTTTGTTAATTTTTGAAATTGTTTTATAAACTAATTTGTCACTATTTAGCATGGCGGGCGGCAAACCCACATTTAATTTAATTCAATTTTTCCTTTTTTTTCTTACTTTAATTGAGCGAAATTATAGGCGAGGCGAGCGGTATGTTCAAATTATCGACATATTGTCGTTATGAATGAGTGACGCCTGACGATAGGCAGCACGTCTTCTGAATCTCGGTACCCTTGTAATAGATTCCCGGAATTTGTGTGAATTCGTAGAAGTAACCCTTCAGTGAGCAAGAGTGCGAGGAACGTGTCAGTCGCCTATAATTATCGACTCGTATTAATTATTAATTAATCCTTTGGTGCTCTTTTAATAAACTTTAGAATTATAATTTCTTAAAATAATTTTTATTGGTGAACTTTGTTAAGTGGTTTTTCCGCGAGATTTAGGACTCTCTTTATGAAATAAATCAGATATTATTTCTATGTTTAATGAACTGACGCCTTATTTTATCATTGACTTGAATTCCTCAATCCAAACCGATAATTTATTTAATATACAGTCGGAAATTCACTTTATGTAACTTCAAAATTATTATGAACAACTTGGAGAATATTTAAATACGAATCAATTGATCTATTACTGAACTTTTTATTATAAAATATTACGAAGTTATTCATGTAAAAAATCTATTTCTGCAAACGTCGAAAAAATACAACTTAACACCTTCTTAAATTTATTACGAAACTAAATAAGTTACCACAAATTGATCACAAAAAATCTGTATAAGGAAGCAAAGTGTTTAAATATAAACGCAAAAAATTGATACTTTAACTTGGCAGCGGTTTTTATCTTATAATTATTTCGCAATAATTAATTTCTAATGAAAAACGTATCGTCTATATATTGTTTCACATTATTGTTACCATTTTTTATCACTCCCTGTCTAAGATGACACACTTTTACATACATTAGTGACATATTTTGCAAGTTGTATTATTGATTAATTCCTCTCCTCTGTCAAATGTGACATAATATATGGATGTTTTCAATGTATGATACACTGCAAAAATAGGTGTCTTATTTTGAGACACTCTTGTAATCACTTTTAAGACTTTTTGTGGGTGCCTTTAAGTAAGACATTATAAATGCCTTATTTGTGACGTTAGAAGAGTCTTTCTTACAAACTGTATATACTGGTGGATACATAACGTAAAATCATATTGACAGACGTGTCAAAATGGATCAAAAAGAACAAAATTTTAATTTTATTTTAAAACAAAGTTTTAAATAAAATGAATGTTTCATGGCGTGTTTATGCGTGTATTCTTCCTATGTCTCACGAATTTATATGTTTCATGAAAGTGTTCTATTGAGGCTCAACAGAAACAAACAATGTCTTAAATGTCCAGCGACTTTGCATTAAAGACGGTTAGATAAGGACGTGTATATAGAATCTTTTGTAGGATCCTCCATAGGTCACTTGTAATGAATCTTTAAAAGAATTTTCAGTAGGAAATGTACGAAAAGTTAAAAATTTACTTTTTTAAGGTAACACTTTCTAAATCTGACTAATTAAATCGAATTAGAATGTTTTCAAGTACATTTTTAGTTTTTTTTCTAAAATTTATTATGCTTCTCTACAACTTTAAATCTAAAAATTTATGAACACAATTTATTGTTAATTAAGAAATTTGTACACTTTTACAGAAATGAAAGAATACATTGAAAAAACAATTATTTGATTCAAATACTCTATTACTTGACTATTATGAAATAAATATTTATTTTGTGTCAAATAATTATGATTTGAGTCAATTAAATGGTATTTGTTTCAAATACAGAAATTATTGGTGTAAATCCGTGTCTATTCTACATCCTTACCCTATTGCAAATTCCCATATGAGATCCCGTATAAGATCACTTATGGTTTCTCATATGAGATATTACATAAGATCTTACGAGAATCCTATGTGGACACTAATGAGAAAAATCTCATGAATGTCCGTGTAGGATTCTATATGAGATCTCATATAGGATCTCACATAGGAATATGTAGTAATTTTGAGATATATTTTAGGTTTTAAACATAAAATATTTTTGATTTATATAAAATCAACTCAAAATTTTGTCAGATTTTTTGTATCTCTTACCGTTTTTGATATATTTATAAATTTTATTTTTTAAATTTTGACCCTATATGGGATCCTTTATGGAATCCTTTATGGAATTAACATAAGGGTATACTGTTCTAACAACCTACTTAAAGACTCCAAATAAAAAGATTTGGATTTATATACCTTCTTGGATGCGTAAAGTAGAACTAGTAATAGAACTTGAGAGGAGTAAGATAGGACTGGATAAAATTTTTCAAGTCCTACTTAACTCCTTCAAATAGGAAGAATTGGAAATATGTGTCAGTTCAGAGGACCTAAATTGGCGTATATTTAGAGGCGTTAAGTATGCGTTAAAT